GTAACCCGTGTGGGCCAGCTTGATCAGGATTCCGGAGTAAACTGCCCAAGCTTTAAAAAAGATGCTCATCTTGTATTCACCCTCTTTTCCCTCTCGCTCTGCCTGCTCCAACTCGATGCCTCCAATGTTGATTGTTCGGTGTGTTTCTGCCCGCTCCTTCTCACTGGCTAGAAGGCGGTAGATATTCGTGGGCTTAAATCGGTTCTCGATAATTTGTTGTAGAGTCACTCGTTTAACTCCTGGGAACATTGTTTCGACTGAGTCAAGGATTCCAGATGCACTCTCGACTTGGTATGGTATGGTAGTGAGGGTATGGGTGGGTATAAACATACCAGGTGGGTTTTGTTCGGTTCTAGTTCTTTCGGGCTCATTGTGGGCCTGGAGTTGGGCTAGCTGGCTCTCCAAATCGGCTATTCTTGATAGAGTAGAGTTGGGAAGGTGTGACTGGGTGCCGGAGAGGGGGGGCTCAGAGGTATGCGGATTGGTATTTCGGGTAACCGGTTGGGGTAGGTTTTGTGAAGTCAGCTGGAAGACCACTCGATCCACGATTTCTTGTTCATGGGATCAGAGTAGTTCACGCATTGTATTCAGGTTGATTGAAGTATCGACTGTGCTTACTGATTGTGCTTGAACTTGCAGTTTGCTTGATGGAGTGGACGGTTCGGCCTGGTGTGCTCTGCTGGGACGGGGAGCTGTGCTGTGACGTGGTGGTGGGCTGGGCCTTTGGCGGATGGTATTGGTAGAAATACTGGACGAGTGGCTGTATTCAGGAATACTTGGTTCAGCTTCGTCACTCTCGCTTGTTGCAGCATTAGATGCTGAGCTTGCTGGGGGGATGGAATGTTGCTCATCCTGTTGGCCATACCGGCTGGGAGGCTGTCTACTACGCGGTGTGTTTTTCCGGATTCTGCCGTGTACCCTGTGTGTATTGGCTCGTCAGGTGCTGCCTCCGTCCGTGGATGCTCTGCGAGGAGCCATAATGTGTGCTCTTTGTGAATCAGATAGTTGATTTCTCGGGTGTTTTGGCGTTTTTTCGTCATCTAATGATTATTATGGCAGTAAAGCTGTCTTTTTAAAGTGAAAAACGTGAGGTGTAAGGAACTAAAGAATGCGAGGTGTAGGAAGCATGATGCTCTCGTACTGAAAGGGGGATTCCGTAGTGATGTATGTATGGGGGTCCACGGACCCACTAAGCTATGACCCCGCCCTGGCCCGGCAACCGGATTTACCTTTTTCCACTATCCTCCGAGATACAACCCCTGTGTGGCTAGCTCTATCTATTCGGCTTCCCCAATTGGCAATGGGTTGTTCCAACCCACTATCTAGTACACTCCCGGTGACCCCTCTTTTACCCCGCTTCCTGTTTCTCTGAACACCTCTTGACTTCTCTTTTACCCCTCCTTTGTCAACCAATCATATTCTGTCATATTCCCACATGTTACAGAATTCCTTGTCTACCGAGCAGACTCACTGGTACTAGTACATCATCACTGGTTTTGCAGAAAAACTCGAGAACCTCCCATCCTGCTGATAAATGAAAAACTCATAAGCATTACAAATAGGAAACCAATACTAACTTCGGGGACTTCTCTGATACCCCGCAATCGCTATAGGCAATCGTGATAGGACTATCACTCCGAGTACCGGTGATTTGCAATACTTGGCACGGCTCTTAGATTCCGCAGGCAGAACAAAGAACCTTGACTAACTCGGTCATCGTCAATAAAATCTTCCGGAGAAGTAAATCAGGTTCCAGAAGAAATTGTCTAGATATCGGAAGGATGAAAGGAGAGTAGTCCATAATGGTAATAAAAAATATGCACTTTATTATTCATCCTATTTGTCATGGCCCTTGGGCTCCTATGAGCAACTCATAATAATAAAGTCAGCCCCTTGAGTTTCCACAGGGAGCTGATTTAACTAACACAAGAACATTACTGAGGGATTCAAGTATCTCCAGTAACATCTCCAAGCACGAAAAAAACCAAACTCCTAGCAGTTTCCATCGGTACATAGAGCCGCGATACACCAATACTGCGAAGACATCCAGGATTTTCCCGGCCCTCCTACACCGGGCCAGAAGCTCCCACCACGGCCTACTAACAACGGGTGATCGACTGTAGAAGAGGATATGTCCTGCTGTGAGAAGAGCCAGTGAAACAGGAGGTATTGCCCTCCTAGTCGGTCGCTACCTTATCACAAATTGTCCCCCGCGGGTACTTCTTTCTGGGCTAGAGCATATCTCTCCCTCTCTCGCATGTTACCCTTCGAGTGATAGTCTGTGAATAGAACCGTTTTCATCCGCATTACTTTGTGCGACACGGCCGGCAGCTGTGATTTGCCCTGTACAGGTGCATTTCACCCTCGCCGGAGCTCCGGAATGTCGCAGCAGAAACCCGGGTGAGCTTGGCAAGATAAATTCAAATATGGTTCGCCTGTGTTCATAAGTCCCGTGGCAAAAGTCGAGCATACTTGACCCCTAGGCATAGCCGATGTTCCGCCACATTAGGCAAACACGGTGCCTACCAATGCAGTGCGGTGTGTTTACAAGCCGATGAGCTAGATTTAGTGTACTTCTCATGCAACTAGAGTGCAGGAAAAGACCGAAATCTGAAGGGAACCCCGCGGTCAGGCTTTATCCCCCGCCCCACCGAGTGCCCACGAGACTGGATGATGAACAACAGTATTTCACGGCCCGTGGTTTCGTTGTTCATATGTGGCTGCCGCTGCGCAATGCGGTCCTCTTCACCCACATACCCACGGAGCACTTGCTGTTAGGGCTTACAGACAGTTGCGTTTATGACAATGAGGAATGACGGGATATTTGGGATTGTAAGTAGTTTATTAAATCAGACCCCCGTTAAATTCGGTTGGTCGTGCCCTCCTAGCACTTTACGGTTTCCACTGCAGTCAAACACCCACCTCTGGCCCCCGAGTGATCGAGGGTGATTGCGCCTATTCTAGTAGTTTTCAGGGCAGATTCCAATATCATGGATTAATTGGAACTAGTGTACGTTAACAACCTCTAGGTGCGCACCACTACTATGGGTGACATGTTGTCTCTGGGATAATTTCTTGTAGTGTTCAAATTGTATATTATTTCATAGGGTCGGAGTTTTCGGAAATGTGTTGTCCCGGTTTGCACCAGACATGCTTCGGGCTGACCCGGGGTGCAATGTCGGGTGTAGGGCCAGAGCCTAAACTCGTATTCTGGCTTAAATAGTTGTGTTCAACCGGATCATTAAGATAATGAGAAAGGAGATAATTCTGGTTGCGCAATGATTAGGATCGGGCTTGCATGGAGAATTCAGGTTCGTGATGATGCTAAAGTGGGAGAAGAAACAGGTTTGTAATCAAATCATCATTGCCAACATGCAAGCGAGCCAGCTGCCGTGCGATTTAGGGATATACCGAGTGATCTGAAATTGCCGAGAATCCGCGGTGCCCAATGTTTTGAGCTTGGCCTAAGGTTTACTAACCACACGGCACATACCGAAAGCCTGCCGGCGCCACCAGACGCCTACAATGCCTGCAGCCTTTGTGAATTCCGCGCCTACGAAACCCAAGTCATTCTGAGTTTGGCTTGGCCTAGCTGGGGTGTGTATCTATAGGCTATCTGCTGGCCGGCCTAGCCGCTTGCAAACGCTGACAAACAATAACCCTTTTGAGAGATACCCAAAGCAATACCTACCGACCACCCCGAGGGCAAAGGATATACCCACTCAAGTAGATAGAGCACCCTTCCCAGTAACCATCAATAATATAGCATAGAAATCAGGGCTTTCGCCCCCGCACTTGATCCCTAGGAGGAGTAGAGGTGTGACCTGATACATTTTTTGCGTTGCTATCTCCCGTACCTCCGGAGCTAACATTAAGGACAACATTATCGACAAACTGCCTATACACACATCTCGATCCCCCCACGAGCCACCACACACTTTTCTACCCCCCCCCACGAATCCCTATTTCATGCGTGCGCCCGGGGCCACAATAGAGAGGCATGTCCTAAGAACTCTCTCCACTAGCAGGGATGGCTCCAGGACAATCCATCGCACCCCCGAAACCCGCGCCACCCTCACCACAAAAGGCAGCATACCAGCTTTCTTTCAGTAATTCTAATAACTGGTGGGGAGGTTAGATGATCGTCAGAAAAATGATATAAAGACGAGGCTGGCCTTGTAGCAGGAAACTACGAGGAGTATTGTGTGGAGGAGGCTCCCACTAGAGAGGGGCAGAGCCATGCCAACCACGTCCCTATCCCCAATTCCGGCCGCAATAGCACATCTCAGGGCACGTGTTCCCCCATCTTTACGCCGAGGTAAAGCCTCCATCCACTGATGCCCAAATTGTGATATAGGCTGGCCTGGTTAACATGATCGGGTATGTTCACCGCAAGTTGCCCGACAATATCATCTTTCGTCGTACAGCACGCTGTATAATCCACCGGCTCGAAACCTGAGCGCTGAAGACAAACAGTGCGGAAACAGAGTCACTGTGTCAGGCTTCCAGGGGAGCTTTCACATCTTCTACTATAACATTTGCTAACATGATTCACTTCTTGAAAACCTGATGGGCGCATTTATTGACTATGATACATTATGCAAAGTTGCCATGTCAGGGGCATTTCTTGGAAGACCCCAAGGTAGAGAAATTCGGTGAACAAAGGTGAAACTAATTAGGCAGATTACCTAAATTGCCCGGCGAAATTCCTGTAGAATGAGGTCCGCAAACATGGCTGGTTTCTGGTGTACAAAGGCCATTCCACCGGGGCATATAGGGAGGGACGGAACACGTGCATGTAGTCGCTTTCCATCTGAACTCGAATAGCCCGAGACCATGTTACAACATGCCCAACAATAAGCCGCGCGACCGCTTCGATATTTAACCTAAGTTCTTTCAATTAATTTATTGGCGCGTCGTATAGGTAGAGCGCCCTACGGTTGATAATAGCCCGGTTTTCTCTCAGAGTTCCACTGACTGAAAAGGATGCGATTCAGGGTGGAAAGCGAGAACAGCACCATTTGCGGTCAGGGTGTTTGCCCATAAGTACATGAATACAGGGGACGGCTAGGATAGAAACAAATATGGAACGTTAAAAAACAATAACATTGCAGTGATCGAGCGGTTCAAAAGGGAGTCAAGAGAGCGAGGGGACTCGCAGGGAATATCGAGAGAAGGGGGTGGAAAAAGAGGACGAGACGAGACTCGTCGGGGCTTATGGAGGTCCCGTGATGGGGCTCGACAATCCTACGAACAACGGAGGCCTCCGCAACCCGGACGGCTCTCGCCTAATCTGAAGCAATAGAAAACAAATCCCCAGCAAATATAAACAAGCAAACGCAAAGGTCGTCGGCGAAACAGCGAGCGGCGTTGTAGGGGTTTTCTAGCTGAAAGAAATCAAAGGAACAACGGAGCCAAGTCCCTTACATGAGATGTATCGAGAGAAGGACAAACAAGTGGAGGAAAGTAGCCCGGAGGTGTTGTTTGTCAAAGTTAGAGGGATCTAAGGTGAGCTTGGGGGCAGCTGGGGAGATGGAGGGATACTCCACGATCAGTGGGATGGTAGATCCACTAAGCCATGCGTGAAAAGTATGGAACATTGAGGTAACGTGAGAATAGGAAAGGGAAATGACGGGAAGGTGGTAAAGAAGGTAAAATTATAAGAAACCCTTCTGCGGATAAAAATGTGGGCCGCGGGTACCAAAGCTCCAACAACAAACCCCACCCTCAAAAGCACAACGAAACTTCCAATCCTATGCGATACAGTAGCAGCCATGGAACGCAATCCAGATCCCCAGAGAGTATGCGACTCTCCTAGCATGTGATATGCTATTATGGCAGCGCCTAGCCAGAGACCGGTCGCGATTCACGGGGCAGTTTTACCCCATGTTGATTCCGACACGAAGATTATCCCTTCGTTTAACACCCTTATTCCCCACCCCTCCGCATCCCCGTATAGGACAGCCCAGACGTTTTTGGATATGCTTCGATTGATGGTGACGTGATAAGCCTTGCTTCGTCCGGAACGGAGATTTCCATGTGCAACCTGGTTCATTGCAAGTATAACTCCTTTGGGAGAACGCTCGGATGCTATTGGGAGATCGAGGCGAAGGCGCAGGAAGAGAGATAGTAGCGGACGAACTGCTGGGAGGAGGGGGTAGCTCGTTGGGGGTGTCGATAGGAAGCTGGCAAAGTTGGGATGGTATGCAAGGGCTTTGGCCACCGGGGGTGAGAATTTGGTTATCCCAAAGGTGAGCAGTATGGTATCCGTTATGCCTCATATGCAGTGCGGGACCTTTGACCGAGTAAAAGCCGTCGCTGTCAAGATAGAGAGGGAGATTTTCGTGCCCTGAATGTAGTCGATGCAACGTTACCGCGCCGTTACCGAATGCTGCTCCCGAATCCCTGATGCTATTACCGTAGTGGAACCTTCGATCACTAAGTCAATAAACGAAACAAGTACTCATAATTATGCCCAGTACCTTAAAGGTCAGCATTACAAAGCAGCCTATAGCGGAATGTAAACAACGATCGGGACCAAGAAAGTACGCTAGAGAAACCCCAGTGATTTCCCTAGTTTCACAGTTCTCCAACCGTAGTCTCAAGGTGACAAGCCCCAACACAAATCGTGTCGCGGAGCTACCCGACGTATTTGATATTTGCCATACCCCGCAATGAAACACCGTTCTAGGTCTGTCAGCTTGTGGGCAACTCACGATACCATGAGGCTACTTAGGGAGGTCAATGCTGCCTAGTATGGGGGTCGGTTCGAGGTTGAGTGATAGAATTGTTTCGGGGACGGAGAGATGTTGTCTTTGCCACTCTTACCGGGGGTGGGCTATAGTCTCCTCAAGTCCAAATGACATGCCATCGAATTTGCGAAGTCGATATGTACGGAAAAACAAAGATCTCGCCGATCCCGCCAATGCTCAATCCACATAGCGCGAATAAGGATTACCCGCTAGCCCGACGGGTCGTGCGAATGAGGAAAAGGAGTGGCCGGAGTTAACCCGCCTGGGTGAGGAGAAGACTGAGCCTGGGACCCATATCTGCCCAACTCAGTCTTAATTGTCCAGAGTCGGCAGGGTACTATGCGAGAAAAGATGTAAAATATTTTGCACAATCTCCTGTTAAAGTGAAAGACGAAACGGGCAGGAGAAAGTTTTGGGCTAGCTTAGCAAGGTGAGTGGGGATGGCATTCGCGTATTTAAGGCGCGATACAAAAGTAACCCCCTTCGAAAAGGAGCTAACAAGAATCGACGTCTTGACTAAAAAATTCCGGCTTATCTGATTGCCTGAAGCCTTACACGCCGTGGAACGTTGCGGATTGCAATTCCTACATTGGAGTGATGTCATGAATGCAACTCAAGAGCCTTCGACGTACGAGGTTCAGAGGTAGGACCCTTAACTGACGAACCATATTCGAGCATGGCGCAGCCGAGGGTGCGACATTGCCGCACAGAACAGAGCCTTTGTGTAACAGGGTTGTGGTAGGGAAGTATAAGCGACCCCCATAGCCTTGCCAACCCCCACAGAACCATCCTACGGAGCAGCCTCGTTCTATGCGAGTGCTACAGGTGCTATTGAATTTTTTTCTCCTCGGTTGCGCGATGCTGATCACTTCTCCCTTCCTCCTCCTCCCATGTGCACCTCATTCCTCTCAAATCCTACAGCTCCAGTAACAGAGAGTATTCTAGAATATATAACGAGCAGTACACGTGCAGGGATGGCGACCGTGCGGCAACGCGATTCTGAATACCTACGTGAGCCAAGACAAGCTTTTCCATGCTTCAACCATACTCTACCTAATCCACCAATGACTGCTATAGTTCTCGAGCAGGGAAATCAGCCCTTGTTCAAGGCATCATTTCACACTGCGCAGACTGGGTAGCCCTGAGGGAAAGCGCCGAACCTCTTACTTGTAGGAGAACCTGTAATTGCAACTGCTGGCCAAGCTACCCCCCCGGCACTCGAGTCCGGGGCTCGGGCAGCTTCCTTTTCCTGCACCTGCACCTGCACCCATGGACCCATATATGCCAAGAACCTTCACCTTTCCCATTTGAACGCTATCTGCACACGACTTGTACTATCACGGTAGTCGCTAACGATACTACCCTGATCCGGTAGTCATTACAAGGGCAACTGCGATTTCATGCTCCGCGAGCCTGCAACTGCAGGCTCTAACCTCCATCAACCCTTGGAATACAATAAAAGTAACATTAACCAGCCATCAAACCGACATATCGGCGAAGCCCAAGCACTTGGATATAGGTGTGAGAAGAGCCAAAAGAGGAGCTTTGTAGAGCAGCCCCCGGGATATTTGGTGACAACTGATCTTGTTCGGACCCCGTATGGCTCGGGGATCCTTTGAGCCCAATCTTAGCGTTAGAGAAGGTCTCCCGGAATGCAAGTCCAAGTATAAAAAGAACAAACTCAACTGAACCCAAGCCCGATAAAAGTTCGAAACTGTTCAGCCCAACCAACCCCACGAGCCAAACCCAGGCCAATCCGTCCAACCCGTCTATCCAAATCAATGAAACAGAGGAAACCAAAAGTGTGTAAGATAACGAGGGAGAAGGGGTATCAAAGACGTCGAATACAATTAGGGAATTACGCTATTCTATCGTATCATACGGTCACCAAGGATCCCCCAAAATGTGGGGAAATATGGTTCTGGAGACAGCAACTGCGGGAAGATTGCCGAATACAGTACTATTCCCGCATTTTTGGAGCGTATTTATGGTTTGGCAATTGTGCAACCCGAAAATATCATAAGAAACTCACACCCCTCCAACGAGTCCCCCAAATCAAACTGTGCAAGGAATCTTAGGAAGCCGAGAAAGTAGTAGTATTTCTCAATTTCGTCATCCCAATGCCATCAGGATTTTTCTCGTATGGGAGAGCAATACAGATATTATCCGTGTCACCAGAAGTGAGACAGTCTCAGCGATTTCCACTTGCAACTAAATTTCACTAAGACAACGATACTCACTTAGTGATTTTTGTGTCTCTGATAACATCTCAAGGAAGGGGAAGGAATGAAAGGGTCCCACTGGCAGCTGGTTCCCGTCTAGCCACAGAAACACTGAACAAAAATGAAGCCAAGAACAGCCAAGAGTTTTTCCAACTATCCACAATCGTCAAGAACTCCCAAAAAGCTAGCTCGAATGCGAGTGGATGATAGCAGAAGAGCCATGACATGCGATGGGGAAAATGTGCGGAGGAGGTCACCTTATAAGTGTTCTAGTTGTTGATCCAGAGACTGCTTTCTGCTAATTAAAATTCCTCTAGCTTCTCGCGCACACCTTGCCCCGGATGCCCTAGCAATGCCTGGGGTTTCTATGCTTCGTCACGGACACGAAACGTCCGGCATCTCTGGTAGCCCCAACTTCCGACCAACCGCTCAAAGACCAGGCGGATGCGATCCATAATGCCCCAACAAAATCCAACAATATTGCCTCTTTCCTCAGTAATGGAGGTTCTCAACCTTCATAGCGGGCCGTCTACGGTGGGATCAGATCACCGACATCGTGAGCTCGTTCCATTTATTCACTCCTTCAGCAGATTTCGCCGTTTTGAAATATACCACGCGTGCAAAAAATACTGCAAACTGCGCCTTCTGCTTCGGAAGTTGTTTAATCGGCACGAGAGCACTGTAGGCATTTTCTGGATTAACCCCACTAACCACAAGCAGAAGCGAGAGCCCACCAGCGCAAATCACGGACCCCCGGCGTTTCCTAGAGAGTTTCGCCCGTTTGGAAGGAGTTGGTGCCTTTGTTAGCGGCCTACACCCCAGGCCTTGCCATAGTCCTGAATTCCGACAATATGTGTTATTTCCCGTGAGCCAGAGTTAATCAGGCAGGCCTCTGCTGTGTGCGGCGCCCATGCTAAGAACAAGACTATAACTGTTTATCTCGATCTCTCTCCGAGGGACATCTCTCGGAAAGTAAATGCCGGGGGTTAAGCATCTCAAGGAGTACTCCTAACTCCTTCTCCGGAAGAGGTCGATAAACCTTGATCAAATGCCGGACAGTTACTCAATCACAAGTCCTACATCATTTGTTTCCTTTGTTGTATTTCAAGAACCCTACAATTCGTTCCGGCCCCCTGTCATGTCTGTTTCGGCCACAAAACCCCCCAGAACGCCGAGACAGTGCTCTAATGACGCTCTGTGTGTGAAAATAATACGGAGCAAGGTGGAAAGCAAGAAACCCGGCGCTCCTGGTGAGGGTGATTGCTCATATATATAGAGATATAGGAAATGAGTAAATTGGAAAAAGGTTTAAGCATGCGAAAACCCCTTTAGTGAACGGTTACTAAAGCGAATGAAAAACAACCAGAGGACCCGAAGGGCACCTCAAGCGGAGGAGCCAGAAAAATACTAGAGAGAACTTGCGGGAGCTTAGGGGAGTCTCATAAAAAAACCAAAGCGTCCCATAGGTAGCGAAGGTCCTAGTGTCCCCGAATGCTCCCATGACTTCTAAAGCCACTGAAAACAGATACTGACCCAGCCTGTGCAAACATGCAAACCCAAATACCACCGATGAACAAACAAATGATCTTGTACGAGTTTCCCAACTTAGTAGAGCGAGGGAGGTAACGGCAAAGCTAAGCCTTTTAAGTCCTTTTAAGTTTGATATATCAAAAAGAACAAAAGCAGAAGAAAAAGAAACTCGGGGCGTCAACGGCTAAGCTTCGGGCCCTATAAAGGGGTGAAACAGCATTCAATAGAATAAGAGGAAATGCGTCATGCGATTCCCGAAGGGAACGGATACCGATGTCAACCCCCTGAGAGGGAAAGGAAATAATAGAAAGGGATGAACAAGACGTAGGGAGTCGTGGGATGTCCAGATACAAAAACTCATGGTATCAATGCTTCAACAGACCCGGTCCAGTAACGCCCAGCCAAGCCACTAACTCGACGAAAGAGCCGCAATGGAAATGGAGTTAGATCGGGGGAGTGCGCGATCCTCGAAATTTGTAATATTCTATGATAACGATGCCTGGGTGCAGCTCCTGCGGGCTTCGCGGGGGAGCTCAAACTTGTGCTGATTCCACACGTGAGCACGAAGGTTATCCTTTCTTTTAATTCCCTTGCTCCCGACCCTCTCGCATCCTAGAATCGGACAATCTAGTCGTTTTTGGAGATGCTTCCCCAGATGGTGGCGGGCTAAGCCTTGCTTCGTCCGGAACGGGGATGGCCAGGCGCACCCGGGTTCGTTGCAAGTGTATCTCCTCTGGGAGAATGTTCGGAGACTTCGACGAGGTCGGGAGGAAGGGGGAGGGGCCGGGCTGGGGAGGAGGAGGAGGGAGCCGCGATGGAGACTAGTTGCCCTCCCGGCGGGATTTATAAGGCGCTGAGGAGGTTGTGAAGCGATGTGGGGGCTTCTTCGGTGGGAGAGGTTGGTGGTTTGTTTGTCCAAAGCATGGGTTGTAGGGTTGACATGAAATGCAGGACCATTGACGGAGTATGATAGAAGCCGTCCTCATCCAGATACAACGGGAGATCTTTAGGTCGCAGTGGCAGTGGACACAAGGCTCCAGATCCGTCGGTGCAGCCTGGTCTCCAGTCGATGATCCATTCTCCTGAGTGAAACCTGCCATCTTCACGTCAATAAATGAATCCTAGAACTTGTGATTCATGAGAAGCATCCGGACGCCCGGTATTGCAACTCCGGATATGGCTAAATGTAAGGTATCAGCAGATGCCGGAAACCGCCTAGCAGAGACTTCAGTCCCTGTCCTAGTTTCACCATACTCAGCTCAGTGCCTCAGATGATGGCAACTTCGGGCAACAGAATACCTGCCTCTAAGCGACCCGACGTAGCTAACCCTCCACCATACCCGGCAATGCAATACTATTTCAGGCGCATAAGTTTGAGGGTGACTTACGTGATCATGGAGTTGTTTGGGAATGTATACAGTGTTTAATGTTGTCGCCAACTCGTGGGTAACTGATAGAACTGTTGCTTGGATGGAGAGGTTTCGTTCTAATTTCGGCAGAGCGGTAGGCCGCGCTCTCGCCAACCGGAGGAGACTTTATATCGAATTCAAGACGCCGATATGTACCGAAAAAAAAGATGTTTTCCTTGATCCCACCCAAGCCCAATCCGTACAGAGCCAATAAACAC